GGGTGTGTGTGCTGTGCGCGGGGCAGGGTGTGTGTGCTGTGCGCGGGGCAGGGTGTGTGTGCTGTGCGCGGGACAGGGTGTGTGCGTGCGTGCGCGGGGCAGGGTGTGTGTGCTGTGCGCGGGGCAGGGTGTGTGCGTGCGTGCGGGGCAGGGTGTGTGCGTGCGTGCGTGCGCGGGGCAGGGTGTGTGCGTGCGTGCAGGGCAGGGTGTGTGTGCTGTGCGCGGGGCAGGGTGTGTGTGCTGTGCGCGGGGCAGGGTGTGTGTGCTGTGTGCGGGGCAGGGTGTGTGCGTGCGTGCGTGTGCGGGGCAGGGTGTGTGCGCGTGTGTGCGTGGGTTCGAGAGACTCACACTGCGCGCTCCGTCGCCTCCCTCAGCTCCTGCAGCTCCAGCTCCGGCCCGGTCCGGCGGCCGTCCGCGGGCTCCCTGCGCGACACAGAACACACAACAGGCCACGCCGGGGCTCGAGAGCAGGCCGACGGCGAGCGGCGCCGCGGGCCGGCGGGGGACGGGCTCGGCACTCACTCCGCCTGCGGGTCCGGCTCCTCGGCCACCTCCGCCCCGGGCGGGTCGGGCCGGGGCCAGAGGTCGGAGTTCATCTGGAGGGTGTTGATCTTCTCCGTGGTCTTCTTCACGAAGCTCGACACGCTTGGAGAGAGCAGAGGTACCGCAGATCAACGCGCCGCGGTCTCAGCACCCCCGCAACCCCCCACTACCCCCCCAGTAACAAACCCGTTTCGGAGCTCCAGCCCGGAAAGACTTCAGGGCTCCTGCTGAACCCAGCCCTCCCAGTCCCCCTCTCCCACAGGTCCCAGTACAGCAGGACAGTCCCAGTACAGTAGGAGCTACAGTCCCAGTACAGTAGGACAGTCCTGTTACAGTAGGGGCTACAGTCCCAGTGCAGTAGGACAGTCCTGTTACAGTAGGGGCTACAGTCCCAGTACAGTAGGACAGTCCAGTTACAGTAGGGGCTACAGTCCCAGTACAGTAGAACAGTCCTGTTACAGTAGGAGCTACAGTCCCAGTGCAGCAGGACAG